ACTTTGCATGAATAGATCCCAAAAAATCCCTCCTTCAAAAGCTCCTGGACCACCATTGCATCTTCACTTTACACATTGTGACCAAAACGACACCCCCACTTCTCACGCTACCCCCTTCATTTCTCTCTGGTAAGCTTTTCGACCCTCACTCTTCTTTTAATACATGTGTTTCATTTTGTTCTCTAAGTTCATTGTACTGCCGCAGAGTTATTGCTGTCACCAATGACATGTTCTTCATTTTAGGTTTTTTTTTTTGGATAAACTGTAAATATATATATATATCCAAAGTGTATATGTACATCTGTACAGTAGCAAAACAGATCATATGGGTCATCCCAAGCAAGGATACCCAGTCACCTCCAAAAACTACCTATAGCTACGCAACTATGCTAGCCATCACAAAACATGGTGACGAAACAGCAAAAAATCAAAATGTTATCCTATCTATTGGATACATGTAATATAAGATTTTATACACCATAAACTTGATATGTTTAACCATATCTAACACTGTCGTCTTGGCCTTCTCAAAACAAATCAGATTTCTCATCCGCCAAGTCCAATAGACGGTGTAGCAAAAAGAGAGCCTCACGGCCTTGGCCTTAGCATTTGCTCCATGATGTTCCTTCTTGATCCATTTGACCGCACTTAACAGTGTAGTCATCTGTCTAGATAACCCAAGCCAGTCACGAACCATCTTCCATACCTGTCCTGTAAATGCACACTCAAAAAATAGGTGTGGCACCGTTTCCGGGTCACCCTTACAAAAATGACAAGTATTAACCACATCAAGAAAACCTAACCTATCATACGTAGCTAGTCTTCCCCGGAAGGCAAGCCACGTAATGAAAGAGAATTTAGGTGGAATATAGCTCTTCCAGATAAAGGACATCCAAGGGCGGACCGTGCCTTTACATCTAAGTAAATCATACACTTTTGAAGATCTTCATTTTAGGTTTTTTTTTGTTGTTTTGTTGTTTGTTTTGAGTAAATTGCATCATTTAGAGTATCGTTCGTGTTTTCGAGGGTGTTTGTATGTTCTATTTTTTCTTTACTATGTTAGATTTTCACTTTTATGTTGTTTACCCCAAACGTTTTGATAGAGTATATGGGCTTAGGCCCCATGGTCCACATATTCAGAAGGTCAAAGACACCATAGAGGGACATCCACGTGGCGCCTTTCGGCCAGGTGGGTCCCGCAATGGCCAAAACCTGAACTGCTCAGAATGTTGCCTGGAGACGAAGTGGATCCCGCATCGGTCGGGGATCGCATCGACCAGGGGACCGCATCGGCCAGAGACTACCCTGGCAGAATGTATTTTCCTACCTAATTCACTAAGTATTGTACTCAGTCCATTAGTGGCCTTATTTCGCCCAAAAGAGGCATGATTATTGTAATGGGTCTCCTAAGCCCAAGATTAGGAGCCCAAATCCACATTTATTCCTATAAATAACCCTCTAGGGGTAGTTATAGGGGGTTGAGAAATATTAATTGCTCACTTTCTCTCTCTAACTCTCAATTCTCTCTCGAATTAAATACTCTATCACGTTCGCTTCACGCAAACCCTAACACTACCCCCCAAACCCAACTTGGTGCAACCCCTAACACTATCCCAAACCCAACTTAGTGCAAACCCCAACACTACCCCAAACGCAACTTAGTGCAAACCCTAACACTAACCCAAACCCAACTTAGAGCAAAACTTAACACTATCCCAAACCCAACTTAGCGCAAACCCTAGCACTACCCCAAACCCAACTTAGCACAAACACTAACACTACCCCAAATCCTACTTAGCCAAAACCCTAATACTACCCCAAACCCAACGTAGCGCAAATCTGAACACTATGCCAACCCCAACTTAGCGCAAACCCTAACACTTACCCCAAACCCCGCTTTACGCGAAACTTAAATTACCCTAAACCTAACCTTTGCACAAACCTGAGACTACCCCAAACCCACACTTAGCGCGAACCATAAGACTACCTAAAACCTACTTTTAGCACTAAAACAAATTTATTCAAATTGTTCATATCAACCACCTCAACACCATCGCCCCTTTCAATTCACCTAATTGTCTTATGGTTCATTGAGCCCATCCACTCTAAGAATAGATTGTACACACTCAAAAAATAACTTTCAATTAGACCTAGATGTCTTCTCAAGTCAAGACTATATCATCATTGTCATCCTGAAAGGGAACACACTATGGAAGACACTAACACGGACAACATAAGTACGCGAAGGGTATCTCCAACAATTTTGGAGAAGAGTATAAAAGGCTCGGGATGCCAATGGAACAAAGTTCTTCACTGCCATATATCATTACTAGGATAGAGGCCCAGATCACCAAGAGGCTACAAAACCTAGTACTTCAAATCCCACCATAAGACCATTATTATGTAGAGTTTGCTTCTGAGGAACAAATACTAGAAGACATGATCAGATTGGGCCATGCTCCTCCACTCTATTTAACCTCAAACATCACACCTGAGTGTAATCCCTCAATGGCGGAAGACTCTTCCAGCCATAATCCACAAGTGCTTCATCGCCAAGCACTCTAGCTTTGACAGATGCATCATCTACATTCTCAAATTCTTCCACGACATTGTTTTTAACTGCAATTATTAGTTTGTCTCCTTGATCTAGGATGACATCAAGGAAACCATTCGAAAGGGGGAAAAACACAACACATATGATTGTTGCCCTATGTGCGATGGTTCTCAATGCCGGTATGACAGTTTTGTCGCACGACACCAACCATTCACATAAGACCATCAACGGAGAACATCGTACTGCTAACACTCCAGTACCTTCGGAAGGTAAAGACAGGTACCACTCTGTTTACAATGCAAATACACGTACCTTCAGAAGGCAGTTATCTGGTACTGTTAGAAACATAACATCATACTCCTTGTGGTTCAGATAACCCCCCCTCACACCTAGTAAAATGTGTAAGCTTTTACGATCACTTTATGAACTTTGACACGCACCACGATGTTGGTTTTCAAAATTAACTGGTGCACTTAAATCTTATGGTTTTGCTCAGTCCTATGCTGATTACTCAATCTTTACCTTACGTCGTGGCAATCATATTTTGTTTGTAATTTGATAATCTTTTTATTACATGAAATGTTCATGATATGATTGCTGATTTTAAAGTTTTTCTTGCTAAATCTTTTTCTATAAAGGATTTGGGTTGAATACGCTACTTTGTTGGGATTGAGGTGACTTGTAATCCTACTAATATTTTCTTTTGCCAATGTAAGTATGTCTTGGATATACTGGTTGAAATAGGTCTTATTGTGGGGCCAACCCTGTTTCATTTCCCATAGTCCAAAATCACTCTTTTCAGCAAGATACCAGACCTTTTTTGGATTCGGACTGATTTAAACCTTTTACATCTCTGCACGTCACATACAAAAATAACTATTTTACCTTCTATCAAACGTTCTTTTAAGAATCAATTAGATGCGAGTAATATGTACTCCTCCAGTCCCTTGAAATCTTGCCATCTTTTCTTTTCGCGTTCTTCATAACACTTTATCACTGTTCCTTTTAATCAACTAATTTATAGTTGACTTAAATACCATTTTAGTCCCTGCAAATATGACACACTTTGTTTTAAGTCTCTGCAGAATAATTTTTTTTATTTTTCATCCCTCGTAATATGCATTATTTTGTTTTTAGTTCATCTCTAATTTTGAAATCAATCTAATTAGAAACAAAGTCATTTTCAGTTGCATAAATCTACTAGAAATATTTAAATTTGTCCTTTTATAATATCTTTGAGGCTAAAATTAGAATTAAAACAATGTAAAACTAAGTATTCACATTTTAAAGATATATACTAAAAACTTTCTAAACTATAAAATTCAATATTTTTTAATAACATTGGAAAGAATGAGAAGAAATCTATTAGTTTGAGCTATTTTGAATTCAAACGGAGATTGGTAATCATCGGCCATGGGCTAAAATCAAAACCAACATAAATTACAGGAACGCAAAACAGAAAATAATAATTTTGCAAGGATGTAAAACAAAATGTAGTATATTTGCAGAGACTAAAAACATATTTAAACCTTTATAGTGTTTAGGAAAAATGGACAAGAATAATCTCAACTATTAGTGATCTGCATGAAATAATCCAAAATATCTATTATTCCAAAATAATACAAACTATTGAAAAATCTTCTCAAAATACCCCACTTATTCGTAAATATTATAAGGTATTTATGGGTAATTATAAGTCACCAGAGTATTTTGAAAAGTTTTTTCAATAGTTCGGATTATTTCCAGATAATAGATATTTTGGATTATTTCAAGCAAATCATTAATAGTTGAGAGTATTTATTGTCAAATTTTCATAGTTTCTATTATTTTTATCTTTTTTGCCCAAACTTCAACCACATGTTTTTTTTAAATATTTTTTGTGCAGATCAAACTTTTGATTTTAAGGGATGTAAGAAGTTTTTCTTTTTCTTTTAGAGCCCATTTGGTAACACTGAAATCGGCTGATTCTGCTGAAATTATTGAAGTTCTGGCTGAAGTAGCTGTATTGGATGATTCTGCCAGTATATGAATAAATTATAATTAAAATATATTTAACTATTGAAATAAACAAAAGATTATACTTGGTATAAAAAATCGTTAAAATGGTCATCTACAATAACATCAGCCAATACAGCAATACAAGTAACTTCAACTTTACTTTTTCTTATTATTACATAATTCAGAGCGCGAAATAAAAAATTACGTTTTTTATTTAAAAAGTTAGCTGATAAATCTAATACGCCCGAAAAATAGGATGGCCGACTCTTTTAGGGAGTGTTGCAACTGCTTAAAAAAGCACTTCTCGGCTTTTGGCTTAAAAAGAGGACTTATTTACCAAACACTACTAATTTTTATTTTTCTCGACTTTCGTGTGAAAAATGATTTTCCCTTTTTTATTAAACAAAAAACACTTTTTTTACCGAACACTACCAATTTTTATTTTTTAAAATAATTTTTCTAAACACTATCCACTTTTATTTAATCACTTTTTTATATATATAAAAAAAGTGCTTTTTTTTAATAAAACACCTGTTGCAAACACTCTCTTATTCTTTTTCCGCCCGAAACTGTCGACATCAGTCACTGCAAAGTCCTTGTCCTACTGTTTTGGCCTCTCTCGCGTGTTTGTGACCTCTCTGGTGCACTACCATATTTCATATCAAAAGAATACGGAGTAATAATTAAGAAAAGAATATATCTATGTACGTATATGTATACCCGTAATATACATATGTATGGACATGATGATGATGATGATGGTGATCTTGAGAGAGGGGATATGGTTGTGGGAAAGCATCGCAGTGGTTGACAAGATGAAGAAGCCGCATGGAATTCGTGGGTATCTGCTAGAATAGAAATCACACTTCCAGATCTCAAGCTTAGCAGAATTCCAGGATTGCTTTCTCAATAAAAATCTCCCCTTTTTCTCTTGCTGATTTAGCTGGCCCTGTTTACGCTTCGAACCTTTGAGATAAATACAATTCAAAAGATAAAAATTTTCTCTTCCGGACACTTCTTTCTTTTGGCCTCCCAGGCGTTAGTGGGCTTCTCAAGGAGTCCATTTTTAGTGGATTATGCTTTAAAGCTTTGATGCTTGGATGAAGAAAATGTAGAGTTTGTGAAGCTGTACATGGAGTGTCTGCTTTTATTGAAGAAGTCTTTCTCAATAGTTATGCATTCCATTTTGTTGTTGTTGCTAAGAAAGTAGTGAGTATTTCGTCTTAATGCAAAAAAAAAAAAGAAAATTGAAGTGAGAAATACAAAAGGCTAGTTGAAGGAAATGAAGTGTCTGCTATGGAAAGTACTGGGAATGGCGATTTGGGCATTAGTTGAGATTTGTTCTGCTACTCTTTCTCCATCTGGTGTAAACTATGAAGGTTAGCTTCAAACATCTTTTAATTTCACTACTAAGTTTCCTCTTTGTAGAAATGCTTCTTTTACTTTCAATCTTCTGGAAAGTTCCGTTTCTCTATCTTTTATTTTTCATCTGAAAACTCAGTTTCCTTTTCAAAGGTCACTAGTTAGTTTGATGGTGAAAAAAACTAACCTATCCTAATTCTGAAATTAACGATTTACAGTGGTGGCCTTGTTTGCTATAAAGACTGCCTTACACGATCCTCACAATGTTCTGGATAACTGGGATATTAACTCCGTAGACCCCTGCAGTTGGAGGATGGTTACCTGTACCTCTGATGGCTATGTTTCCGCCTTGTAAGTGCTTAGAAGATGGTATCAGTTTTTATTTATTTATTACGGAATAAAAACTACGAAGTAATTAATTATGAAGTATTTGTTATGTAAATAAATTGTTGATTGCTGATATGCTGTCAACCCATACAGGGGACTACCCAGTCAGAATTTATCTGGGTCCTTATCTCCCGGAATCGGAAACTTAACTAAGTTAGAGTCTGTGTAAGTACTTGATCTTGTTTATACCTTTCCACTTCTTCAATGTTAGCTTTTGTAAACTTTAGATATATAACATTTTACCATAACAGTTCTGAGATTGTTGTTCAAACCAACTATGAGAATAGCAGTATAAGAATGCTAACAATAATGGGGGTCACGCCATATTAATGTAGGTTGCTACAAAACAATGCCATCTGTGGGAATATTCCAGCTGAGATCGGGAAGTTAGAAAACCTTCAGACGCTTGATCTCTCCAACAACAAGTTTGATGGTGATATACCAAGCTCATTGGGTGAACTAGGCAATTTGAATTATTTGTAAGTTTGTGGAAGTTCACAATTTGGTGGTATACATTATACAAAGTGCAGAACTGTGATTGTTTTCACGTGAACATTTCAGGAGACTTAACAACAATAGCCTTTCAGGGCAGATTCCAGAATCTCTCTCTAAACTTGATGGCCTTACTCTTGTGTATGCTCCTTTCCTTCATCTTTAGTTGATACTTCACTGTTTCTTGCAAGCAGCCTAATTTGTGTTGACATCCTTCTAGGGATGTATCTTTTAATAATCTCAGTGGTAGACCCCCAAAACTACCTGCAAGAACTTTCAAGTGAGTAGTTTATGCACGACATATGTATTGGCTAATCACACGTAAACTTAATGTGTTCTATTAGGTCCATGGATTTATAGTTTTATCTTTAAGTAAATAAAGAGCTGAGCAATCTCTTTCTTTCTTTCTTTCTTTCTTTCTTTCTTTCTTTCTTTCTTTCTTTCTTTCTTTCTTTCTTTCTTTCTTTCTTTGTTTTTTGGATTTCAGAGTTATCGGCAATTCTTTAATTTGTGGGCAGAGTTCCAAGAACAATTGTACTGCAATCTATCCAGAAGCGCTGCCCTTTACGTCCAATAATGGAAGAGGTGAGTTATTATGGGACACAGTACCTTTGACTTCTGACCTCAAAACACTGAAAATGATAACTGATTAGGTAGGTAGATAGTTGCAGATTGAGACTTTGAATGAATGAATGTATTGTGGTTGATTTTCACAGGTCAATATGCCGGAACAAAAAAACATCATGTGGCTATTGCTTTCGGGACAAGTTTTAGCGCCTTGTTCTTAATCGTCCTATTTGTGTCGCTTATATGGTGGCGCTATAGACGCAATCAGCAGATCTTTTTTGATCTAAACGGTTAGTGTACTTATTTATATATAAACTGTTTCTGAAGCTGTGAAATACTAATGGAATCCTTTTCATGAATTTGCTTTCATCCATTAAGAACAACTTTGAAACTTAATTCTTATAGATTTCCCTTTTAATCATATACTCTTTTCATGGAATCTTCTTTTTGTATAACTAGCTCTACAAAAGCTGTTCTTGTTTTCATTACATTGATATGCCTATTCTGGTAGCCAGGATAAGCAGAATGATCAAAATATAGAGCAAGTAGTTTTGACTTACTTTATTTGGCTGAAATGGATGTTACAATATACTTTTCCTTTCAAACAATTGTGGAGATCCATCTGTAATTTCAGCCAAACAATCCTTACCAAATGGGACCTATATCTCAGAAATTGTATATTGGCAGATAGCTATGATCCGGAGGTATGTCTGGGTCATTTGAGGAGGTTCACCTACAAGGAATTGAGGGCGGCAACGGACCATTTCAGTTCTAAGAATATTTTGGGTACGGGAGGGTTTGGTATAGTATACAAGGGTTCCTTAAACGATGGTACTCTTGTGGCCATCAAAAGGGTGAAAGACTATAATGCTGCTGGTGGTGAAATCCAATTCCAGACAGAAGTGGAGATGATTAGTTTGGCAGTACATCGAAATCTTCTTCGACTGTGGGGATTCTGTTCAACTGAGAACGAGAGGCTCCTTGTTTACCCTTATATGCCAAACGGGAGTGTAGCATCAAGGTTAAAAGGTCAGTAAAGAAATCCTTTTTAGCGCTTACTTTTTTCTGTAACACAAGTTTCCTGCCAGTTAGTTCAAGAATAATGACATATGACTAAACTAAAAATAATCGATGAGAATGTAACTTTTTATACGCAGACCAACTGACCATAATAGATTTTACAACTGCGGTGTAGAATCGAACATCATCTTGGTCACTACAAGTAGTGACCAGGATGATGTTCGATTTTACACCGCAGTGACTATTGTGTTATTTTCTTCGAAGTGACTATAGTGACTATAGTAACTGTAGTGACCAAGATAATGTTCGATTTTACACCGCAGTGACCATTGTGCTATTTTCTTCAGTGACTATAGTAATTGTAGTCATATATTTTATCAATGAGTTATATTTTAGTTGACAAAAAGGTTGCCAAACTTGGAGTGAAAAATAGTTCTTTCATATAAGTTTTAAGCGTAAAACAGTTTACCAATAATATTGGAACAAAATTTCTTAAAAATTACATATCTAATTTATTGAGCCTCTTTTGTTTGACTAACTCTGCACATCATCTTGCATCTCAAGTGTGGGAATATATAGGCACAAAGGATGTAATAGACCTGACCTGGGGTGAGCCCCCAAACTCTGGCAAGTTCCAATGACATCTCTAAGAGCCTGCCACAGGTTATGTTGTTGAAATGGCCGAATCTACTGACTTTTCTAAAATGAAAAATCATTTGGTAAAATCCGTTTCAGTCAAACAAGCTAGTCAACAACTACTTATTTTGTAATCTTTTTTTATTAATAAACATGATAAGAACCACCAATAGAAATGCTTACTCTGCTGATTTTGGTGGAAAACTTTATGGGATTGAAAAAGAATAAGCTGTCCAATAGAAGCTACTGAGGAGATCCTAGTTGTACAAGTATACATATCCTAGAGCCTTAATGGAGCAATGTAACTAACATACTGTGGATTTGGCTTTTTTCAGATCATATCCATGGGAGGCCTGTATTGGACTGGTCAAGGCGGAAGAGAATAGCAGTTGGGACTGCAAGGGGGTTGGTGTATTTGCACGAACAGTGTGACCCCAAAATCATCCATCGTGATGTGAAAGCAGCCAATATTCTGTTGGATGAAGACTTTGAGGCAGTTGTTGGAGATTTTGGGTTAGCAAAGCTCTTAGATCATCATGAATCTCACGTGTCGACTGCTGTGCGGGGCACCGTTGGCCACATAGCTCCTGAGTATTTGTCTACGGGCCAATCATCTGAAAAGACTGATGTGTTTGGTTTTGGAATCCTTCTTCTTGAACTAATAACGGGTCAGAAAGCTGTTGACTTTGGGAGAGGTGCTAATAACCAGAAAGGAGTTATACTTGACTGGGTACGATATCTCTTGTACCTTTTTTCTTTTGCATCTTATTGCCCATTCAGCCATTCTTATACCGCAGACAGTAAGATCTGGTATTATAACATTGTTGCATTAATAGAGATAAATTTAGATAATGACATTTTTTGTTTGTGTTCAGGGAATATATGCAGTTGTGCTACTAAAAGTGAAAATTAAAAATTAGGGATTTATTAGTACTTTGGAGTAACCATAGTCCATATCTGACCATTTTCCTTTTAGAAATTTAGTAGTCGTTCAAATCCAAGTAGTTGAATTCTTATTCTTAGTGAAGACCAAATCAATCCAAACAAGGCCTTTTGTGTGGTGGAGAACCCCCCACCCGCTACACACATGGATACCTTCTGTCCTTTACATGCTTATTTTGCCATTTCATGAACCAGTCTGTTTCTTGTTAATTCACTGGCAGGCGAAGTCGCTCCATCAGGAAAAGAAATTAAGTGTGATGGTGGACAAAGATTTAAAAAACAACTATGACAGTGTTGAGTTAGAGGAGATGGTTCAGGTGGCCCTACTATCAACTCAATTCAATCCTTCTCATCGTCCGAAAATGTCAGAAGTGTTGAGGATGCTGGAAGGCGATGGGCTAGCTGAAAAATGGGAGGCTTCACAGAGCAATAATAATACTACAAGGTATCGTACCACCCTTGAAAACATGCCCCAAAGATACTCCGACTTCATCGAAGAATCTTCCTTGATCGTTGAAGCTATGGAGCTTTCTGGACCTAGATGATGATCACAGACAAGTATATTGATGAGCCCCATCATCTATTTAATTTTTCATGTCACACTTAATATTCTCTTTATAGATAGCTCTTGAGAGGGATCACTTGTATCCTTTTAGAAACTCGGGGAGCGGGTCAAGTGTAGAGTTTTTTTATTTAGTTTGGACTTGCTAGTTGTTCTGTGTGAATTCAGATTTTTAGTACATCGAGTTTCTCACAACGGTATGGAGGACGTACAAATGCAACGTGCAATTGTAGAAAAAAATCAGTTTCTGCACAGTGCGATGTAATTTGGCAGAAAACCCAAGGATAATTCTCCGATATGTTTAGCCATTCATTGATGAAGGCGAAATCCTGGTAACTGTTATAAGCAAGCAATCATGTTTCACGATCACATAAGTTGATATTCATTTTTTTTTTTGAGTAAAAGTTGATATTAATGGATGTCATATCTTGTTTGTTTTTGCGGCATCTACATTCCTATGGATGGATCCAGGAAATTCACTGAAACTCATTCAGGAAGCAAGCAAAAAATGAGCATCAATATCAATTATATCATCATTATCATTATCCAAACTTAAAAATTCATGGATCCAAACTTAAAAATTCCTCTCTTTTAAAAAATTTGTTATAACTTTTTCATTTATAATCCCATAAAAAGTATATTAAAATTCTTAAATTTTTATTATATTTCATACGTCATCAATATTCATCATTATCTTCATTATCATTATCCTAGTACCACAGGCTCCCACCTAGACCACAGGGGGGTCGGATGTATGCAGTCTTACTCTTGTACTTGAGAATAGAGAGACTGTTTCCGGATGATTTATAGTAACAATCGTGTCGAAAATTGCATGGACTGGCTGCTGCTTCATAACAAAGAAACACAGACAATTTTGTGAGTCGTTTTGCTTTATTCCATCATATTCCTAAGCCAAAAAATAGTAAGTTTTTGGCTCCATTGCAAACGATGGAAAAATATCTCACCACCATTACTCCCTCCGTCCCATTGGACTTTGCCAACTTTCTCTTTTTTGCTGTCCCCAAAAACTTTTCCATTTTCCTATTAAAGCAACTAATTTGTGGTTCTGCACATTTTTCTCTCTTCTGCACAAATTTCAACCACACAGTTATTACTATTCTTATTTCTCACCTACTTTGCACTTGGCAAAGTCCACCGAGACGGAGGTAGTATATAAAATAAAAATAATTATGAAAATACTACTACCTCCGTCCCACTAAGATTGAGACGGGGAAAGGTGGCACGATTATTAAGAAAAGTATGTTTGTGTGCTTGATATTAAATTGATAAAGTAAGAATAAAGTTTGAATGATTTAGAGCCACACAATCTTTACTAAATATGGTATGAGACAATCTTAGTGGGACTTCCCGAAAAGGTAAAATGGGACAATCTTAGCGGGACGGAGGGAGTATGAGTGAAGGTTTTTTAGGCTACAAATTCTTTAAGTAGATGTCTGTTACAAAATAAAGATCTCATAATTTATACAATCCATTTTGTAACTCTGAAATTGGCTGACTTTGTTAATTTATGAAAAATTATATTATTATTTTTTATTAATAAGATAAAGAACTTCCTAAGGAGTTATATACCCTTTCCTTCACGTAGATTTTAATTTTTTGCCAACTGTTCTAGACTTGTGCAGACAGAGAGTTTCAGCCTTGCACAGACTAATTGGTTTATTGTACGTTCCGCAAGGTTTCTTTTTCGCGGCAGACCTAGGTTTTGTGCGACGGCTTGGGGATTTCAGCCTCGCGCACCACAAGTCTTCTTTTTGTTCGCAGGTTCGTCTTCAACTGCTCAACACGACAAGAAAAAAATAAGGGAATCCATTGCGAACCACTACGACACTTGGCTACACCTTCTATTACTCCGTACATTGTAGCAGAAAATGTTATGAATAAGGAGAAATGAGAGGAAGAAGATGCAGTATTGATAGTCCGTACTCCTCCCGAACCGTCGACGTGGAGGAATGGTGTGGTTAGAATTTAGATGAGATTAGATTTTTTTATTGAAATAAAAACATTCTTTTGCTTTTAAATTAAAACATTCTGATTTATTGATTCTTTGAATAATTTCTTAAAATCGGGTTGGCATCAGAAATGGGACCTACTATACTCCACAATACTAGTAGTATTACCACTATTCTTTTTTAATTACAATACTTAGCTTTGATTTTCACATATTATCAATATACAATTTTGACTATACTTATACTTAACTATGTATTACTCCCTCTGCCCCCCTATTATTGTTCCAGTTCTTATTCACTTGATCAACATAAATCACTCTTAATCGCTTACTTTATATAGGAGTATTAAACTTTTATCAAATTTTATTCTGGGTTTGCGACTTTGTAAAACTTTTAATGTAATTTCAGAATATGTATATTTATTCCTCAAAAATTATTTGAGTGTGAACGGGAATCTATTTGCTTTATCGTAGTAAAAACATCGTAAACCGTAATGAAACAATAACAAAGGGACGGAGGTAGTACTAAATGTTATGTATTGAAAATACAAAAATTCAAGGGAAAACTGTCAAATAGGTCCTCGAACTTTCATAAAAAGGTTAATTAAGTCCTTCTATAGGAGGTTCTGTCCGGCCGTCGCGATTTGGGACAGTTCCCGGTAGAATTTTTTGATGAAATATTTTAGGCATATTATTCACCAAGTCTAGTTTACTCATACTAAATTTCAGCTAAAAATTCAATCAGGAACACATTCAAATTAATTCATGAAGATAACTGCGTATTTTTGCTTTTAAGAATTAATTTGAATGTGTTCCCGATTGAATTTTTAGCTGAAATTTGGTATGAGTAAACTAGACTTGGTGAATAAGATGATCAAAAAAATTTATCAAAAAATTCCACCGGGAACTGCCCCAAATCGCGACGGTCGGAACTAACCTCCTATAGAAGGATTTAATTGACCTTTTTATGAAAGTTCGAAAACCTATTTGACAATTTTCCCAAATTTCAATATATGTTGAAGAGGGAGAAAGTATAAAGGGTGGTTGGGCGGTCGCACGATTGACATAACAGCAGTTTTGTCGAAATTCTACTTTTGTAGACAGTTTGGTCAGCAGTTTAGAGTCGTAAAGTCTACATTCGGCAATACCTGCCTGCTCGGTCAATATATCCACAAGAGTGGATTTAAGTTGCGTAGCCAGCCAGCCCCCTTTGTTGAATTGAAGGAGCCGTTGCTTTTCATCAGTATAAATAAGAGTATCCCACCCGGCCTATTCCAACCCCAAAGCAAAATCAAGCTACTTCCAACTCAACATTATGTATATCGGGATGTCAGGTACAGAAAACCAAACACGAGACGAGGAATCACCGGTCAACGGCGACATTCTAGAGGTCGTACTCTCTCGCGCGCCGCTCGTCGACTTGGTGGCGGCGTCGCTGGTGTCCAAGTCTTGGAGCCACGCCGTGACTTCCTCCCTCCGGTGGCTCAACAAGCCCAAGCCCTGGCTCTTCGTTCACACTCAAAGCACGCGTTCCCCCCAAGATGTCGCCACGCGCGCTTTCGACCACCGCTCCAGCGAGTGGGTCGACATTGCTCCCAACGCCGCCGCCGCGTCATCCGTCTACGTCTCGCCCATCCGCTCCTCCAATTCCAACCTCATCTACATGCTGTCCCCCACCACGCTCTCCTTTTCCTTCCACGCGCTCAGCGCCGAGTGGCATCACGTCCCGGCGCCAACGGTGTGGCGCACGGACCCGATCGTCGCGTACGTCGCCGGCTCCATCGTCATTGCCGGCGGCACGTGCGACTTCGAGGATGACCCCCTGGCTGTGGAGATGCACAGCCTCGAGGACGGCGCCACGTGGCAGACGTGCGATTCCATGCCGCCGATTCTTAAGGACTCGTCCGCCTCTGTGAGCTATTATTGTTTAGTGCATTTGTTTTAAACTTGTTTTTATTAAGCACGTAGGTGTGTTACATGTTTTCATAAGGTCATTAGTTATTATTTCAAATTAAGTAGTGTACACGCATGCATATAGGAGATTTAGTCAAAATAACCACCCATGCACGTAGGAGTAGTTGTTGCACTATTTTCTCAACCATTTTCACCCACTCTCAAGTTGTATTAAGTAGGAGGTGGAGCTGGAGGTTTTTTGTACTCGAATGAACTGAGTTTTTTCCTCCAAGTGTGAGAAGATTAATACACACAAGAAAGTACTTTGTGTGATAAACACTCTTGCTCTTTTGATATACAGTATATAGTGTATGTGTGTGTGATTGTACTCTGCAATAGCTTTGCAGCCTGGGAAGAGTATCCAACATTTGGTATCAGAGCCAGCAACCCAAGGATCATGAGTACAACATCATCTGAAAGTGGTGATGGAAACATAGGTGATGACAACATCAAGATCCAAGATAAGGAGGGATCGGTTACTCTCAAATACCCTATGCTTACTCGCAGCAATTATGCTGCATGGGCTATCAAAATGGAGGTTTTCATGATAGCCCAAGGGGTATGGGATGCAGTGGAGTCCTCAGAACCTGTTGACAAAAGAAGAGACAAGATGGCCCTTGCGGCCATCTACCAAGGTATAGGAGAAGATACCTTATTGCAGTTAGGGGCGAAAATAACTGCCAAAGAGGCATGGAGCATGCTGAGAACCATGCATGTAGGTGCAGAGAGAGTCAAGGAAGTTAGAACTCAATCCTTATGGAGAGAATTTGAAGCAATGAAGATGAATGATAGTGACAATGTTGATGAGTTTGCAGGGAAGCTTCAAATGGTTGTGACCAAGCTAAGGGGACTTGGAAATGTTGTTGAGGAAGAAAAAGTAATGAAAAAACTTCTGAGAGCAGCACCACCAAAGCTTCTGCAGATTGCATCAGCAATTGAGGAGTTTGGAGACCTGAAAGTCAAGACTACAGAAGATATCATTGGATCTTTCAAAGCACATGAGGAAAGATTGAAGATTCACCATTCAGGAGAGGAGGAAACTGTTCTGCTCACTAAGGCAGAATGGGAGGCTAGGGAAAACAACAAACCTCAGCAAAGGAGTAGAGATCAAAGTGCCTCTAGAGGAAGGGGTAGAGGCCGTGGAAGAGGAAGGGGAAATGCAGGTTATCTAGGAGATGGAGGAGAGTTTAAGCAGAAGAGAAAATTTGATAAATCCAAGATCAAGTGTTATGCTTGTGGAAAGATGGGACATTTTGCATCTGAGTGTCAAGCAGGTGATCCAGAAGAGGAAGTTCATTTGGCTGAAAATGAAGAGTCAGAAGAACCTTCCTTAATGATGGTTGAGATATGTGAGTTAACTGAATCACATAAATCTACCATGCAGAGTAGGATGATTGATGGATCAGGCTCTTGGTGGTACTTGGACACGGGTGCAAGCAATCATATGACAGGCAACAGGAGTTATTTCTCTGAGATTGACACATCAGTCCATGGAAAGGTAAGATTTGGTGATAATTCAATGATTGATATACAAGGACTAGGATCTGTGTTATTTCAATGCAAGAATGGAGAACATATGATCCTATCTGATGTATATTATATACCAAAACTTAAAAGCAACATCATAAGTCTAGGACAGCTTGATGAATGTGGTAATCAAGTTGTTATAAAAGAAGGAGCACTGAAGATCTATGATGGGACTAGCAGGCTTATGATTAAAGTACAAAGAGGAAAGAATAAGCTATTCATGGTGAACATGAAGCTTGCAGAAAAAATATGCCTATTAACTAGCATGGAAAGCCAAAGCTGGCTTTGGCATGCTAGGTATGGACACCTTAATTTTCAAGCACTGAGGAAGCTCACAAGTCTGAAAATGGTAAAGGGCATGCCTGAGATAACTAAACCTAATCAGATATGTGATGGGTGTATGATAGGAAAGCAGCATAGAACTCAGTTTCCTCAGAAAGCAGTATACAGAGCAAATGAGAGGCTTGAACTTGTTCATGGTGATTTGTGTGGGCCAATTTCACCTACCACACCTGGAGGAAATGGCTATTTTATGCTTTTGGTGGATGACTATTCACGTTATATGTGGATATCACTGCTTAAACATAAAGGAGAAGCACTTGAAGTGTTCAGAAAACTCAAACAGAAGATGGAAACTGAAGCTGGTGTGAAGATGAGGTACCTGAGAACAGATAGAGGTGGTGAATTCACTTCACATGACTTCAGGAACTTTTGTGAAAAGGAGGGGATGAAGAGACATCTAACTGCACCATACTCACCCCAACAGAATGGAGTGGTAGAGAGGAGAAACCAAACAGTCATGGAAATGACTAGAAGCTTGATGAAAAGTAAATACATGCCGGCAAAGTATTGGGGAGAAGCTGTAAACACCTCAGTATATTTACTGAATAGGGCACCCACCAAGAGTGTTGATGGGATGACACCCTATCAGGCTTGGCATGGGAAACCACCAAATATACATCACCTGCGTGTGTTTGGTTGTTTGGCTCATGTCAAGATAGTGAAACCTCATCTCACTAAACTTGCTGACAGAAGCATCAAGGCTGTTCTACTTGGTTATGAAGAAGGATCTAAGGCTTATAGGCTCCTTGATCCCAACAGAGATAGGATCCTAATAAGCAGAGATGTAAGGTTTGAAGAGGACAAAAGGTGGGACTGGGAGAAATCTGAAGACACAAAGGAAATGGAGAATAGAGATATATACACAGTTCATGTGAATGAAAGGGAGAACCCTGAAGATTTTGATGAAAACACAAGAGAAGAAAATGAAAACATTGTGCATAATACACCTGTGACCTTATCCAGATCAAGCACTGAGTCAAGTGAAGAACCCCAACACTTCAGATCCTTACAAGAAATATATGATGCAACTAGAGAAGTTAATGGAGAGGTGGGTTTGTGTTTTCTAACTATGGAAGAACCAACTGATTATCTAGAAGCTGCAAGACATGAGGAGTGGAAGAAAGCAATGGCACTTGAAATTGACTCTATTCAGAAGAATGGGACATGGGAGTTGACTGACCTACCATACAAGCATAAGGCCATTGGTCTGAAGTGGGTTTTCAAACTAAAGAAAGATCCTGAAGGTAACATCATAAAATACAAGGCCAGACTTGTGGCTAAAGGGTACATACAGAGATATGGCATTGACTACACTGAAGTTTTTGCTCCAGTAGCTAGAATAGAGACCATCCGAACCTTGTTGGCACTTGCAGCACACAAAGCATGGGAAATTCACCACTTGGATGTGAAGACAGCCTTTTTAAATGGAGAATTAAAAGAAGAAGTATATGTAGTGCAGCCAGAAGGTTTTGTGGACCAGAAAAACCCAAACAAGGTGCTGAAACTGCACAAGGCTTTGTATGGTTTAAAGCAGGCTCCCAGGGCTTGGAATGAGAAACTTGACATGTGCTTGAAGTCATTGGGGTTCCAAAAATGCATGTTTGAGTATGCTGTGTACTTAAAAGAAGCTGGAGGACATACCACAGTTGTAGGTGTGTATGTTGATGATATAATCCTCACAGGATCAAGTTTAAGGCTCATCAAAGAGTTTAAAGAAGAGATGATGGAAAGATTTGAAATGAGTGATTTGGGATTGCTGTGCTATTATCTTGGCATAGAGGTTAAGCAAAGCAAAGAGATCATAAGCCTATGTCAATCAAGCTATGCCAAGAAAATTCTGGAGAAAATGGGAATGGCAGATTGCAACCCATGTTGCATTCCCATGGAACCAAGAAACAAGCTCAGTAAATTTGATGAAGGACTTTCTGTAGATCCTACACTCTATAGAAGCATCATAGGAAGTCTAAGGTATCTTGTAAATACAAGGCCTGATCTAGCATACTCAGTTGGCATTGTCAGCAGGTACATGGAAGCCCCTACTACCACACACATGAATGCTGTAAAACAGATTTTGAGGTATGTTAAGGGTACAATTGATCTGGGTTGTGTGTTCAGGAGGGAACAAAGAGGTGAAGGTCTGATAGGCTATTGTGATAGTGACTTAGCCGGAGATGTGGATGACAGGAGAAGCACTACTGGTATTTTATACTTTCTTGGTGACAGTCCTATCACTTGGGTGTCACAAAAGCAAAGAATTGTAGCCCTTTCATCTTGTGAAGCTGAGTATATTGCAGGAACTGGAGGTGCATGTCAAGGAATTTGGCTTATGAAGTTAATAGAGAGTCTACAAGGAAAGATTACTGAAAAACCAGTCCTAAGGATTGACAACAAGTCTGCAATTGCTCTGGCTAAGAATCCTGTTTTTCATGATAGAAGCAAACACATCGATACCCGGTTTCACTTCATTCGTGAATGTGTTGAAAGAGGAGACATAAACTTGGAGTATATCAAGACAGAACTTCAGCTAGCAGACATGCTTACTAAGCCTCTTGGGAGACAGAGGTTTACTGAGCTAAGGGACAAGATTGGCATGAGAAAGACCAGGGATTGAGGTAAAGAAGGAAAACAAGTTTAGGGGGGTGAATGTGAGCTATTATTGTTTAGTGCATTTGTTTTAAACTTGTTTTTATTAAGCACGTAGGTGTGTTACATGTTTTCATAAGGTCATTAGTTATTATTTCAAATTAAGTAGTGTACACGCATGCATATAGGAGATTTAGTCAAAATAACCACCCATGCACGTAGGAGTAGTTGTTGCACTATTTTCTCAACCATTTTCACCCACTCTCAAGTTGTATTAAGTAGGAGGTGGAGCTGGAGGTTTTTTGTACTCGAATGAACTGAGTTTTTTCCTCCAAGTGTGAGAAGATTAATACACACAAGAAAGTACTTTGTGTGATAAACACTCTTGCTCTTTTGATATACAGTATATAGTGTATGTGTGTGTGATTGTACTCTGCAATAGCTTTGCAGCCTGGGAAGAGTATCCAACAGCCTCCACGTGGCTGTCCATTGCCACCACGCCCGACAAGCTCGCCGTCACCGAGAAGCTCACCGGCGCCACCCACTGCTTCGACCCGAGAACTAAAACCTGGTCGGGGCCGTACAATTTACGCCCCGATCCGCGGATGTCCCTGTCGATCATCGGATTCTCTGAAGATCGCGGGCTGGTTCTAATGGGAACTATCGTCGCCGGGGACGCCCAAGGCGTAAAACTATGGGATGTCAACTCTGAGACCTTCGAATGCGTGGAGATTGGG